AAAGAGGGACCATTATGGTGGCATTGACGTGAGAGTATTCATTTTTGAAATAATATAGGAAAATCTTCGAAATATATCTATTTTTCATATGATCGAAGCTATTACCCCCCCTAGCACGCCTATGGATTTAAAAAATATTTCCAGCAATATTTCTTGGTCAATTTCCTCTGAAGGATTTTTTCCTCAAACTTTTACGACTATACTGAGATACAGTACCTCATCACCCTTAATGAATCACCTGGTACACAACGAGCTCTATTCGAAAATGTGGACAAATCTGACATATTCAGATTTTCAAGGACAATTTTTGATTGTTTAATGGATCAAAATTTCAAAAACGACTATTATTCATTTTTTTGTCCTAACAGTGACTAGACCATTCGATTTAGGCATAGCAAAAACCCTACGAGATTTGAACAAAATCACATTTAGGATGATAGTCATTCAATGGCAAATTTTGATATTTTTGATTTTTCGATTCACCCTGCATCAAAATCTGAGAAATCGATATAACTTGTGAAGTAGTCATTCAATGGAGAAAAACATCGAATACTTGGATACGAACTTTCATAGTTGTAACTTCTACAGGAAGATCTCCTAGGTCAATCAGAAGTCAATAAAATTAAGGTTGAGGTTCACCTTTTTGAAATCTCAAGTAAACTGTTTTTCACAAACTTCACCACACAGTAGCTTTTAAAATCGTGTCGATTGATAAAGAACTGTAAGACAAATAGACTGACAGACAAACACTCTTCAAAGACTGCAAGGATATAAAGAGAATATTTCTTTGTTACCATTATTTATATTTCCAGGAAAAAAATATATGGATCATAATAAAAAGTTTGTCAACTTCAATTTAATTCATTTTCAGTTGACCAAGAGAGATCTTCCTGTAGAAGTTACAACGATGAAACTTCGCATGAGTATCCGATGTGTTCCTCCATTGAATGACTACTTCACCAGATTCAACTCCTTAAATTTTGATACAGGGTGAATCGAAAAATCAACAATATCAAAATTCGCCACTGAATAACCATGCATGAATCGAATGGACTGTCACAGTTTCAATACAAAATTGCCTTATAGTCGTTTTTGAAATTTTGACCCCTTCAACGAACAAAACTAGGCCTTGAAAACCTGAATATTTCAAATTTGTTTCCATTTTCGGATAGAGCTCGTTGTTGTTATTGAAAATCGGTCGACGGGTTCCAAATTCTTTTTTATCGCTTGGAGCGCACGAAAGGAGATCACTATAATGTTCAATGAACATCGTGCGTTCCTAGGGAGGATAGGGACAGGAGGTAGGTATTGGAATTTTTTTTGAACTTCTGGAGATTATATGCTGATGGTAATACTTCCTCAGGCAATGAATTCCAGAGCCTAGCCGTTCTATGGATGAAGGAGTTTTGATAAAGTGCTGTTCGACATCTTTCGAGGTTGACAACGAAAGGATGTGCTGACTGGGCTTATCTAGTTCGTCTGACTGTTATTGCTAGTGAAGGGATGATAGCAGAGATTTCCGAAGAACATTTCCCGTGGAAGTATTGATAGAAAAGTGAAAGGTCGCCGACCTTTCTACGGTGTTCTCTGGATGGAATCTAAGAGCATCAGCGTATGTTTTGGTGCTGAACCCCATATGTGGGAACAGTATTCTAGAACAGGCCGTATCTGCGCTTTGTAGATCATGAGAAGCTGTTGAGGTGTAAAGTAGCTTTTCGCACGGAACAAGAATCCGAGTTTTTGTAAAGCAGCTTTTGCGATGTATCTGACATGATTATCCCATGAAAGAGTGTTGCTGATGGAAATACCGAGCATAGATATGGTGGGCTTGGTGGGGATGGTAGTGCCAGACATTACAATATCGGGCATACTGAGTTCCGCCTTTCTAGAGAAAATACAGGCTTGAGTTTTGGTGGCGTTGAATTCAACTAGGACTAGGTTATTGGTTCCCCAGGCTGTGATTTCAGCAAGGTCTTCATTGACAGCATTGACCTGCCTGCGCCGTGAGTTCTCAGTTTCCTGGGAAGAAATGGGAATTCTGGAAGAGAACGCAGTATGGAGGGTGTTGCGGGTTGAAATTGCACACACTGAAAATCGATATACAAAGTGTCCCAGAACAACGTACCATGATGGTGAACTAGGTGAACTAGAGATCAAAATAGGCCGATTGAGATCAACTTACCTCTATACGAAAACGCACCGTTGAGCCGTGAGAGGGCGACAAACAATCATTTTATATTCAGATTTTCTATACATATATCTCAAAATCCTTGAGAGATACTGCTCTGAAAGTTGAAGGGCAATTTACTATAGTGGATATGAATCGAATTAGATTTAGATTTAGATTTAACTGGGGAGCTGGCCTTTTGGCCTAATCCACTGCGACCTTTTCAGATCTATTGTGGATGCTCCGATTGCTTATAGCACTTCATCTAGCTTCGTCCATTTTATCAGACTGAGCAAATTTGATAATGGCCTCTCAAGATAGCTTTCCGCTCTTGGTTTTTCATCTCCAAGTTGTAGAAACCGCACCCTTGCTAGTCCTTCGCACTGGCACCTATGAATCGAATACATTTATACCAATTTGATCAATATACTGAGAGATAGATATTTCGCATTGACTTTGAAGAAAATCGATAAAAAAAATCTGAGTACGCCACTGACCTTATTTTCATATTTCAATGAATGACGAAATCAATTTCCTAACTTTTTCCAGACTGCAGTTTTTTTCGAATTCTTCTTGGTTTTCGAGATATCTAATAAAGTTCATTTTGGTGTTCCTCCATAATATCATTGAGTATTCACACTTTATATTTATTCATGATGTCAGGATTATCATGTATCTCGTGTTTTTATCTCATTTATGTTCATTTATTGATCGCAATAATAAGGTTTTTGAACTATTTCAGCATTATGATATGGGTGTTTGTCATCCTCAAATTCATTCTGCATGAAAACTACTGAGGGTTAATTGGAAAAGACAATGAATATCAGATTTCGGCATAGTCGTCTAAAACACTTCAATCAAAATCAACATGAATGATGGTAATCACAGAATATGAAGAAACAAATGTTAAAAATTGTGTGTTATCATCACTCGCCAAAAATAACCAGATCATTTCCACTATTGAATCTCATTCTCTGGAATAATCATTATCCTGGACTAGGTATTCCTAGGATTTGCATGAATTAGGAAGGCATGGTCTGATATTTATTTTTGTACAGGTTCTCCTTCTTTTTTTTTAAACGAATTCACATCAAATCAATTCATTTGTTTTAGTATTATGTACGGAAATAAACGAAGAGAATGACTGTCAACTGACAGATGTTTAATGTATCTCTACTATTTGTAATTTCCTGTCACATTTCGTCATCACCATTGTTGTAAATTATTGAATTTTCATTACAAACATTTGAACATCAATAATTGATAATGGCTGACTACCAACCCTATTCTAACAGTGAAATGAGTGACATGCATCTAATATTGGGGAAGTGCGATGGAAATTCTGCCAGAGCTATTCGCATGTATGCTGAGAGATATCCTGAACGAAGAATTCCAAATAGGAGAACATTTGTTGCCATTGACCGAATGTTGAGAGAGACTGGAACTTTTGTAGTGACGAGTCGTGGGTCTGGAAGGCAGAGATTTGCACAAACTATAGGGAAAGAAGAACAATTACTGGAGGATATTGATCAACGTCCAGGAATGAGTTGCAGACAAATTACTCGTGAGACAGGTGTAATAGACTCAGTATTCCTATTACTTCCAAAAATAAATGATTTTCCAAATTTTCTGACTTCTTCTATCTTTTATTTATTTTATGTCACCTTTTCTAACAACTCAACGCCTCCTTTTTCAATTCCAAATTATATACAAGGTATATCAAACTAATTCAATAAAACAATCTACAACATTACAGGATTGTCGAAAAGTTCTGTTTGGAGAATCCTTAAGGAGCAATTACTTCAAAGCATAATGAACTTTGTTAGATATCTTGAAAACCAAGAAGAATTCGAAAAGAACTGCAGTTTGAGAAAAGTTAGGAAATTGATTTCGTCATTCATTGAAATATGAAAATTAAGTCAGTGGCGTACTCAGATTTTTTATTATCGATTTTCTTCAAAGTCAATGCGTAATATATATATCTCCCTGTATATTGATCAAATTGGTATAACATGTATTCGATTCATATCCACTGAAGTAAATTGCCCTCCATTTTCAGAGCAGTATCTCTCAAGGATCGGCCTATTTTTATCTCTAGTTCACCCTGTAGAATTTATGGTACATTGTTCTGGGACACCCTGTATATCAAAGGTCACCTAACTCCCCAAATTGATAATCTGCAATAATATAATTCATTTTACATTCTGAAATGTCATATAATACCTGATAAGTTTGACTGATATGCGCTCGCACGACTTTTTTCCAGTTGATAAAAGTTAGATCCAACATTGTTAATCATATTTTCACAATGAGAATTATTGAAATAAGTTATTAGCTGTTCGGTCAATAAGTTTTCGATGACATTGATAAGTATTTCAAGTTGGATTTAGTGATTTTGCAATTTATAACTTGTTATTTCCAAAGATATATTTCCGAACTCTCAAAGTTGCTTTGATATTTGGATAGTTATAGACAAACTATGGTATTCTACTTGCGAATAATGACTATTACCCACTCAGATGATTACAGCTCTCGCCTTCGGCTAGTACTGCAACTTTCATCTTCGTGGATAATAGCCTTCGTTATGCGCTCGTTGAATAATATACTAATATATACCTCGGGGAGAATGTTATTATAAGTATAGCTCGCACATTAAATACACAGTTGTTATATATTCATAACAGTGCTTGCTATATAGTAGTTCACTTATCACCCTAGGTGTATAATATACTATTTTTAACATGCTCCAACTTCCTCTTGGGATCTGAAATTTACAAAATCTAGTTCTATGTGTCATACTGAGTTAACTAATTTTATTTCATTATTTTTACAGCCTTACAGAGCGAGAATTCGTGATATTTCCAACAGTAAGTCATGTTCAGCAAAAATGCAGTAACATATTTTGGGACCTACCATTTCCCAAACTGGACTTGAAGAAAACTCTTCCGTTTGACACGAAGCATTATGATTTAAGATTCAGAAATCTAACGAAATGTTCTATCATTCAAAAGATGAATATTCAAACAGAAGTAGAAAAAATTGACAAACTCAAGTTGCTTCTGAACAGAATCAAAAGGGATAATCCTGATTACCCTGTCTACAAATCGTACAGAATAATTTCCGAAAAATGCGGTGATAAATTTAAAGAAACTGAAGAACGTAAATCGAGGACTAAACGAGGTAGAGGCAAGAAGAAACAAATCACAAGTTCAGGAAATACTGAGTATTCGGTGGTTGAAGCAGAAAAAAATGATGTTGAGTTCTCAATGTGGACTGACAAGTATAAACCTAGATGTTCTGATGACATAATAGGGAATACTGAGGCTATTAGGAATTTGAAAAAGTGGCTCGTAACCTGGGTGAACTTTAGCCAGGAAATAAATTCGAGGAAGAGAAGAGACGATTGCAGTGAATCTGAATTCGAATCAACAGATTGGGATAGTAGGGATAGCATGGCGTTACCCGGTAACACTGTTGTCTTAGGAGGCCCTTGTGGTAGTGGCAAAAGTACAGCTGTCTATGCTATCTGCTCAGAACTGAATATTAATCTCATTGAACTGAATGCTTCTAGTAAAAGAACTGGTGAGTGTTTTTCAGCTACAGTACTATACGGGGTACTTCATAGGAAGCTTCACTCACTCATTTCTTAAAAACTATTACAAATTCTGAAATTTTATACCGATATATATAAACTTCGTAATTCCAAATGGAATACCCTGTATATCTTCTTCTTTTTGAAATATTATTATAATTTCGACTAAGGATTGTTCAATATTTCTTATACCAATGTGCACACGTGATACCACGAGCTGTGTGTAGTCCGCGATCTCTATGTGGAGAACTAAAAGTTGCACGATTCTAAAAATGTGTAGGGACTGTTGGTTTCTGTGTATTTAGTTGTTTATACTGAAAGGTTCACTCGATGATAAGGGATGTATTTGATTTAGGTTGTATATGGAATTCAAATGACACACATGTTACCAGATTGGAGGTCTATTCCAAAGTGACTGTGCCCGTGAACTCAGGTTATTACATTGAATCTTTGACAAGACATCTGACATGAAATATAAATAAAAAGACAGATGACATGACACATGACATTCTGACATCTCCCTTTTAATATAAATAAACAAATTAACAATTATAATATACAAACAACATTAATGATTGTAAATTGATTTTAATTTCACACATAGGATATGCAAGAGGACTAAACAAATATACATATATTTTACAAATTGTTTAGTACCTAAATATTTACAAATTTAGCCTATTTGGAACATTAACAATTCTCCCTGACCTGGTTGTTAGTGAATGAGTTTCATTATCATCATTTATCACATCCTCACCAGTTACAATAACATTGTTTTGCTCTTCAGTTTCATGGTGATTGTCAATATCATATGGATAATGTATGTTTATGTCATCTAGGCTATTTTCAATATTTGTATTAATTTCATTTACTTTTCTATTTCTTCTGACTATAGTGTTTGTTTTAGAAATGTTTACTAGGTATGACCTGGGCTTGTCAAGTACATCTATTATTGTTCCATCTAACCATTCTTTCTCCAAAATTTTTAACTTTTACTTTATCTCCCTTTTTTAATTCACATAGTTCTCTTGCACCTTTGTCATTGTATTTTTTCTCAAGATTTTGTTTATGGAGAAATTGTTCCCGAATATATTTACCTTGAACTAATTTTGGTTTTAAGATTGATTCTTTCACAGGGATTATACTTCTTAATTTCCTGCTATTTAATAGTTGTGCTGGAGATGGAATGTTATTCGAAATTGGTGTGTGTTTGAATTCTAACATGCACAAATATGGATCAGATTTATCTTTACTGGATTTGTACAATATGTTTTCTATTGTTTGAACAGTACGTACTACTTGTAAAATCTTTGAAGTCCTCTGAATCAAATTGTGGACCATTGTCACTAATAAGTATCTTTGGAATTCCCTGTCTACTGAAAATTTGTTTGAGATGGTTGATTATAGACTTACTAGTGGTCGAGAGGAGCAATGAAATTTCCACAAATTTTGAAAAGTAGTCAATTACTAAAAGATATGAACGTTGTTCAAAATGAAATAGATCAACACCAACTTTAGTCCAAGGTAAGTATTCAATTGTGTGTGGGACTAAAGGTTCTTTGTTATTATCTTTTTTAAATGAGTTACAAGTATCACAAATACTAATTTAATTATCAATATCATTTGACATGTTCGGCCAGAAGACTATTTCTTTTGCTGCAAGTTTTGTTTTTTCTTTGCCTAGATGACATAAATGGATATGGTTCAATACATCTTTCCTCATGCTCTTTGGTATTAGAATTCTGTCATTTTTGTATATTAATCCTTGAAAGTATGTTAGTTCATCTCTAAAAGACCAGTATATTTTGAATTCATCTGCTAGTTTTTCTTTGTTGTGAGGAAAACCTTCAATGATAATTTGTATGAGATTTGTTAAGTGTGTATCATTTGCAACTTCATTTTGATAACTTCTCAATTAATAATCAGATATTGGTAAATTTTTTACCACCATAAACAGCTGAGAGTCGATTTCTTTACATTCATTTTCAAAACATTCATCAAATGTGTTCAAATAAGCTCTGGACATTGCATCTGCTAACAGGAGATCTTTTCCTTATTTGTAAGTCAATTCAAAATTGTAGCATTGAATCATTAATAGCATTCTTTGTAATCTTGATGGTGTTTGAACTAATGATTTTAAAAAAATAGCTACTAGAGGCTTGTGATCAGTCTCTACTGTTACTCTATGATGTGCAAATATGTTTGTGACGTGTCCCATAATGTATTGTACTTAGCTGTATTGTGACATTCAGTGGACAAAATAAAATTCTATTCTATTCTAGTCTTTGTACTGATGAAATTTTTCACATGCGAAAGTTATGGCAAGCATTTCCTTTTCAATTTGAGCATAGCCTATTTGTGTATTTGTGAATGCTTTAGAAGCATATGCAACAGGTGGGAAGCATCACAAGAGATAACAATTGGCAAATCTTTGTTGAAATATTGCAAAACTGGTCTTTGGTTAAAAGATCTTTAAGCACATCAAATGACTGTTGTTGTTCACTTTCCCAATGCCAGTGGATATCTTTTCTGAGCAGAATTCTCAGGTTTTTTGTAATATCTGCAAAATTTGGAATGTATCTGTTTACATAATTAAGGAATCTCTCTAGTTCTTTCACATTTTTAGGAGCTAACATTTTTTTTATTGATTCCACCTTCTTTTGACAGACTTCTATGCCATTGTTTCTTAGAATATGACCCATATGATTGACTGACATTCACTTTTGTTAAATTTCAAGTTATTTTCTTAAGCAATTTTCAGAACTGATTCTAATTTTTTATTGTGCTCCTCAAGGTTCTTCCCCCAAATCAAAATATCATCTATATATATGCCAATTCCTTGAACACTAACAAACAGTTGTCTAATATGTTTTTGAAAAACTTCTGAAGCTGATGTCAAACTATAAGTCAGTCTCATGAATTTGTAACGTCCAAATGGGGTATTAAGTGTACCTAAATTACTGCTATATTAATCTAGTTTTATCTGCCAGAAGCCATTAGAACAATCAATTACAGAAAAATAGTTTGCATTTTTAATCTGACCCAAAATGTCATCAAAAGATGGGATGTAGTAGTGTTCTCTTTTGACTGAATTGTTCAAATCTTTTGGATCATCACAGAGCTGAATGTGATATTCACCTTTTATGCATACCCTGAAAAACATTTTTTCTACTCACATAACTAAAATGGCATTTAGCGTACGGATATTTACCACGCTAAATGATCGATTAATCACAGATTGACGATCTGGGATTTATTCATAATATTAAACACGTTACCATAGCAACACGATTTCTTAAACACATTACCATGGCAACACAGTTCATTAAACACAGCTTCAGTAATTTGAGACATGTCTGGCCTGTCATTTGTAGGAACTGTCAACTGTAATTTTCGAATTTTGTATCAGAATTATTCAGACAATTTTCGTTTGTATCAGAATTCTTAATTGAAAATATATGCGGAATGTAGACGAAAGTGAAATCGAAAAGAATGTTTTGGTACTTGCATATCTCCAAAAAGTGTAAAAATGAAGCATCCATCATTGAGACCAATTCATTTATTCTGCGCTAAGCATGACGATGAATGTGAAACAAAGGTTAGTAAGCAATGAACTGGACACATCTACAACCAATAGCACTTATACGTGTCTCGCTGGTTGCTTGTAGTTGCATGTATTATGTTCTCAATTCCCATTCCTTTCGAATTATTTTGTAGATTAGCAGGAATAGCAGGTATGTTGATGTAATTTTCGGAGTTCGTAGAAAAAGCATAGTATGTACCGCGTTTATAAACTCTTCTAGACACTCGTTTATTAAACACTCGTTACTAAAAGGACGTTTATAACACTTGTTACATAATATACTATTATATTTAGATATTATCTCATTACAACATTTATTTTGCTCTGCCTTTCATGATTCCTTGGTTTCTTTCATTTCATGAACTTTAGTTTCTGACAATGTAATTCAACATTTCACATGCTTCTAAACCTAAAATAGCATCTAATTTTGTGTCTACTATTTGGAATTCCAACATTAGTGTTTAGTGTTTGTTTTTTATATCCAGGTAACATAATCCTATAGTTTTTATACAATCACCACTATAACTTTTAAATTCCCTTTGAATTTGATCAATTCATTGTATTGGATATTTAGTTTTCTGAAGATATACAGTGGTAGTATGTTACACTGTGCACCAGTGTCTAGTTTGAAAGGAACTTTTATTTTATCATTAACAAGGAAAGTTTCTATCCAGTCTTTATTACTATTGAAATTTTCAATGTTGCCTAGAAAAACATAATTTTTTGTTGATTCATCACTATCATAATCATCACAGTATTCGTTGACAGTACTGAGATGTTTAAATCTGCACATTTTTGAGAAATGGTTTATGTTTTTTCAGTTTTCACAAATTTTATCAAATGCTGGACAATTTCTTTAACTATGTGATAAACCACATTTTTTACATTTGTAATTACTGCTGTGAGTTTTATTTCTAAATTGAGAATTAAAATGGTTGGTACTCATCTTTTTAGTATGTACATCTTTTGCTGCTGAATGGGCTTCTGGATGGGGTTGGTTCTGGTAGATGCCTGAGTGGTACTGTCTGCTTGAACTGGGTGTATTTTCTTGTATGTGTCTCTGTTTATGTTGAAATATTCTGTCCACTTCTGTTGGAGCTTGTGCTGTCTCACTGTTTCCTTGTATTGTCTTCATCTGCGTTTCAGTACTTTCTGCAGCTCTACAGGTGTCTATTGCTTTCTGCAGGTTCATTTCTGAATCTCATAGCAAGATGTTTTTTAGGCTAGCATCTTTAATTCCCAGTATCAATCGATCTCGGAGCAAACTGTTCTAGTTCTTTGAATTCACATGTAGCTGCAAGGCGTTTCAGAGCTGTTAAGTAGCTGTCATACGATTCATCTTCACGTTTGTCCCTTGTGAAGAAAATGTGCCGTTCAAATGTCACATTTTTCATGTATTCATTGAAA